TTTTCTTATGGAAAGTTACAAACCCTCTTTGCTTTGTAGACCAAAGTCTGAAAGTAAAGTCTAGAAGTAATATAGCCAGTTTACAGTTAAACCTCGTTTATCTCTTGGGTGTCCTTGCATTGTCATTGTATACAATACTTTTAGAATTGCTTGGGCATGTCCATGGAGTTGCACCAGGGAAAATTTTTTCATGGAGACTTGCTTAGGAAATGTTTATGTCTCAGTTTTTACTGAGTAGCACAGACATGAAACATGGTGTCTATAAAATAAAGTACTCAACCTCTCAGACACCAGTATCCAGTTCAGGTAGATAGAATATTCAGTGAAGGTGAAACTCAGCATGAGACAACAACATGAGCTGAGTATATTCCTTTGGACAAGAGAAAAGAGCCTAAAGTTGGTGCATGGTGAAATCTAATTTGTTCAGCTACGTATAAGCATGAGAGCCTTTCAGCCAGAAGATTAGTGGTGCAAGTCCTTCTAAACTATAAGCAGATGGTAACTTTTTCAGAATTTGTGAGGTTTTACATTGCAACCTTATATTGTGATTTGTATTTTTATTTCTGTATTATCACAGAATCACAGAATGGTTGAGGTTGGACGGGACCTCTGGAGATCATCTGGTCCAGCCCTGCTGCTCAAGCTGGGCCACCTAGAACTGGTTGCCCAGGGCCATGTCCAGATAGCTTTTGAATATCTCCAATGTGGGAGGCTCCACAACCTCTTTGGGCAACCTGTGCCAGCGCTCAGTCACCCTCACAGTAAAAAAGTGTTTCCTTATGTTCAGAGGGAACATCCTGTGCTTCATTTTGTGCCCATTGCCTCTTGTCCTGTCACTGGAAACCACTGAAAGGAGCCTGGCTTCATCTTCTTTGCACCCTCCCTTCGGATATTCATATATATTAAGAAGATCCCCCCTGAGCCTTCTCTTCTCTAGGCTAAATAGTCCCAGCTGTCTCAGCCTTTCCTCATACGTCAGATGCTCAAGTCCCATAATCACCTTTGTAGCCCTTTGCTGATGTGTCTCCAGTATGTCCATGTCTCTCTTGTACTGGGGAACTCAGAACTGGACCCAGCACTCCAGATGTGGCCTCACCAGCTCACCAGTGCTGAACAGAGGGGAAGGATCACCTACTTCGACCTGCTGGCAACAGTGTTCCTCATGCAGCCCAGGAGTTACAGGCATCTTTGTGTTGGGCTGCCATATAAAAAGGTAGATAGAGTTATCTGTGAAAATAGTCACAATGCAGACTCATAGCTAATATCCATTTAATTGTGCAGCTGCACATTTTGTACGTCGACAGCTAAGGTACATGCTTATTGAGTCAGTTGGAGTTTATTTTACCAGGACGGGGTAGTAATAGGGTGCCTCCAACTCATCTTCATATCTGTAGGCTAAGGGTATTCTGGTCCTCCATTAGACATGAAACAGGTTTTCCTCCATTCAGTGGGCACCATTCCAGAGGCAGTGGATAATGGTCTAGCTCCAAGGCCTGGAGGAGGAGTGGTCAAACAAGATGGACACCTGCAGATTTCCAGTAACATTTCCCTCCTCTCCTCTCCCTAAAAAATCAAAGAAGCAACAACCAACAAAAATAGGAAGTTATGGGGATACAACAACATCTGAGACTTCTTGAGCAAATAGGGTCTTAGGTGCACTGTGAGTTATTTCGTCCCATCTTCTTCCCTACTCAAGTGTGTGTTTTGTAACAGCAATGGCGTCAGAGCCCTCAGAGCACGAATTTTGTAGCAAGCAAAGTCAGGGAAGGTTGAGAAGATCAAGGAACCAAAAGGCAATGGATAGCCCTTTCCTCCACTAGAATATCCCTCTTCCTGAGACACATGTACACACAGATTTTAGGAGTTCTTTGGAGTCAGAGGACAGACTCACATCTTCTCCATGCCTTTCCCGAGGAAAAAAAGAAGGAATTCTACAAAATCAGACTCCCAGAGTTTAACCAGTCTTACACAGATTATCATCACAAGGAGGAGAACATATCCCCAAATAAGGACTTCTGGTTTGAGCTTGCATAAATAAACCTCAGGGAGTGAGTGGGTGAGCAAGTCAGGTGAAAGATACCAAGAACAAAGGTGAAATTTTACATTTCTGTGGCTGCTGAGTATGCTCCCAGTTCAGTGGTACTGGGATAGCTGATGTCCACCTTTAAGAATAGAATTAAAAAAACAATTGGCTTGAGGTGAAAGTTTTTATGTGTGCTGGAATTGCAGTGCTGGCAAGTCATTACTAAAGAGTATCTAGTGCCAAAATGTGAGATGAGATCTTCATACAGCTGCTGATTAAGTGGATATACTTCCCCAATCATACATCCAATATTCCAATTGAACCTCCAGCCAAAATTCATGAGGCAAATTTCATTACATTAGTGGTGCCTAACCTGAAGTTGGCATTGTATTGTAGTCATGATGGTGGGGTGGATAGGAGGCTGAAAGATGAACTAATAACACTTCATTATGATGAAATATCAAAGTATGTTGGAAGGTCACCTTGTGTTGTATAATTATATATTCAAAAGAATTTCAGCCCTTAGTGAATCTGAGACAGCAGCAACGATGGGAAAAACCTCCCTTAAAAATCCCAAGAATCATACTTGTTTTGGCATGACACTGCCTAAGGTGATTTGCGAACAAGGCTGACTTTGCCAAGCTTTCACATTAATGCAAGGTTCAACATACATTTTAAAACATTAAATCAGCTTTCCATTTGCATGGATAGAATTATTTGATTGTGTAGATTTTGTTAGTTTAAAGGGCCCCAATATTCTAATGCTGGAGCCAAAACTAAATACTTAAAGTAACCGTATGTTAATAATTCTAAGCAATCATTCAAAAAAAAGTCTAAGGTTATCATATTTTCTGACTTTGGAAGATATGGAGTGTTTCTGCTGCCACAAACAATACTAGGATTGTAGCTACTGAACATTTTGAAAATCAGGCTCAAAACTTACAGCAGAAGTAGATATTCCTGTCTGAATGAAGTTAAACTTTGGGTTTTTGTAGAAGCCAGTATTGCTGGATACCTTAAAGCTTAAAAAAATACAGAAACCTCTAAGTATGAGTTGAAATGGTCTTGTCAAAGAGGCTGCAGTTAGTAAATATCATGTATATCCAGGAAGCAGCGCGTAGGATTATTTATGATCTATTTAGAATCAAAATAAATAAAGCCCTTTATAGACAAGCAACAGGCTACCGCATTTTACCCCATGAGTTTCAATCTGATGTCATATGGTTTCAAATCAGACTTGAAGAAACTGTTCTCTCAATGTCCCTGCGCAAAGCAGTTTGCGGTGTAAGTTGATACAACATGACCTGAATGGCAGCAAACACGAAGGAGACAAAATGCATGTTTAGTTCATCAAAGATGGTCAGCACGTATTCCAGTTATTGCTCTGCTCTTTTTCTTGGTGGCACAGATTTCTGCAGAGACTACTATGTTTACCTGAGAAATGTCACAGTGTTCTGGGTCTACTTACTGTATTTGGTGTGGACCCACCAGATAGGCAGAGACATGGAGCTCTATTGTCTATGTGAGTGTCAAGATGTAAAGCGCCATTTTTCAGAATTAACTCATGGTTAGCAAAAGGAGATCCAGATCCTACACCTGCTCCTGCGTATGGGCAATGAGAGGGGAAAGACTATAGCTGAGTACTTGTTGCTCTTCCAGTGTAGATGGGAGATGTCTTGTCCTATGAAAAGCAACAGTGAAATTATGTTTTTGACTATCACTGCTGTTAAGGTCCTGTATCAGACAGAAGAAAAGGAGTATGCGGCGAGGCAGGAGAACTGACGTTTCTCCGTAACCAAAGGCTGCCAGTGAAAACATGGAAATATGTATTGTTTGTCAAGTCACCAGGTCTCAGTTGAACAGTTTTGGAAACTGTAACTCTAAGTTTAGAGCACGCACTGTACTCCAAGAGCTGTGCTCCAGAAGAGAGGGGCAGCCTGGCTATCAATCAACCCAAGTTAGTATCTCAGTTTGCAGTGTGTCTGAATTGCATTTCTTGGAGTAATCTACCATTTGTTGAACCAAAATGGTACGCAACATCTGGGGCCTGATCTTCACAGATGCCCTCATTCTTGGCTGGATCCTTAATCATCTGTCAGTAATCTGTTGGAATGTCTTGGGAGTTTACACATAAAATTGCACTGTTGATCACACCTTACTGAATTCAGCACAAAGATGGTAATACAGCCATACAGCCATACAAATCTGAATTTTGTATTTTACTTAGGCACTATGGGGTGATAGTATTTTATAAACCATGAGTGAAAATATTTTAAATTGCACTTTGAAAAGAAAAAGTATGTACCACTCTCTGAAAGTATTTTGAGACGCTGTTTATTCTGAAAGCCTTTGGACATTCTGCCTATTAATTTGTTTCTTTCCTGAACATATCTTTATTTATGCAGCAGAAGTATTCCTCTCCTTCAAGGTAAATTCTGTACCGTTTCACACCCCATTCTTTACAGACCTTCACAAATTCATTGTCATTTATTTGACCCTTTAAACCTAGGAGAACATTTCCAAAATACAATATGCAAGAAATTTAATTTTGAATTTAGAGCCATAACAATTAATGTCTAATTTTATTATGTTTTAATGAATTGCATGACATTCACTCTGGTTTTGTCTCTATAAACAGCTATTTAAGTGTGTTCTTTATAGTGAAAAATATTTGTTAATGATATCATTCAGAGGAAGGTATTCATTGAGAGAAAGTTATTTCATTCATGTTAAAGGATGCAATTACATTTTCAAAAGTAGCATGCTCAAAAATATGTCTCATCTGTCCATTCTTTTATCAGTTTTCATAGAAACTTGAAAGGTACACTCACAGACTGGATAAAACTTGGAGGCAGAAGAAGTGATGTCACAAAAAAAAATAACATTTTCACCCTATGTTGGCAGCTGTCAATGACAAATATAAATTCATATTCATTAAAGCAAGTCATGTCCTAAAAATATTTCTTTGTTCTTTCAGACCACTCTTCCGTGGAAACTCAGATGTTGATCAGCTAGGAAAAATCTTTGAGTAAGTGATAACTAGTTTCACTATGTCAATACCTGCTTAACGTTGAAACACTGTGAGGTTTCTTTGCCATGTTTTTATGCAATAATGTGACTAGAACAAAGTATTCCTAGAACATATTTCCTTTTGCTACCATATGCAACATGATATTTCTGTGTATTCTATGTCAGAGTGGGAGGAGGAAGCAACATGGAATATAGTTCTGCAGAACTAATAGCCATCATCGGGAAGTTGAAAGACTTCTGTTTCAGGCTTTTTAAATCTCTTAAACATATTGTGCATGTACCATTCATGCATATTCCTAAATAGTTAGATCCAAGAGATTCTCTTCACAGAAACACAAATGTTTTACTTTTCAGTAATTTCTTTGTGTATTTCAGAAAACAAAATTAGACTACTTTAAAATTGTTATTAAACTGAAATCTCTAAGACGATTACCAACAGCTTCTTTGCGGAAAAGACTTGTGTACATAAGAAAATATTTTAGCTTTTAAAATAAACTGTGTAGCCTGTTAAAATGATTAACCATCCATATTTTGGTCAGGAAGGTAACTGTGAGAACAGAAGGAATATCAGCATTTTAACATGTGCTTTGTCAGAGATGAACTCATTGGCTTTATTTTAAAACCATTTTACAATTCTAGTTTGTGTTTTTCTTCTTTAGATTTATCAAATGGGGGGCGGGGGGGGGCTCCAAACTCTCTGAGGTAGAATAATTCTCTTCCAAAATATGTTCTTAGTTAAAAACCAGAAAATTAAGCTATTGATATTACTGATATGATAATTAAGTAGGATTATATAACTTTTTCTTGTAAAAGCTCTTCAGAGCAAGGAATATTTCTGAATTTATAAGAACCATGTAAATTTAAGATCTGATGTACTTACTGTGTAGTTAGGATATCAAAGCCATATAGGGCTGGTCCCACTCCAGAGAATGAACGCCCATTTGCCTCTGCACCTCTGTCTTCCCTTTTCGTATGGAGAGGCTGCAGGGATCCAGGGATCTGGATGAAATAAGAAATAGATAGCAGAGAGAGAGGGGGGTGGGGCGGAAAGGCTGAAATATTATTCTTTTAAAGATATCCCAAAGGGAAGATAGTAAAATTTCTGAGAAGAGCTTAAACAGAACAAATATTGAATTTCTCTGTTTAATCATTTTTCCAGTTCTCAAATCATAACAGATCTGTTTCTAAGCATTTTCATTATTTAATGCGAGGTTCCTAAATTGCAGGTCTTGCTTTCACACAGTTGACTTCCCTTTCCTGCATACCATACCAGTGTATGTGACTCACTTGCGTGGTTAATTTGTCATGCGCTGAATAGCTCTTCCTGCCCAATCCAGAAAAATCAGTCCTTAAAGTCTACTTTTTCTTCTTCTGCCAAAGCTACTCCTTTAGTCCTACAATATTCTGCTTTATTAAATGAAGACAGTTTTGATACATACAACATATTTTATAATTTAAAAAGACATAGCTGTGATTTTTTTTTAAGGATTTTGATTCGTTTATGACATTTAAGGGGAAAAATCAAAATTAACTGGGATGGGATTAAATGCATAGCTGCTAGTGGCAGCCTCCAACAGGGATATTTCCATCCCTAGGGGCTGAGATTACCTGTGCAGAAAAGAATTCATCAAGAAGAGAAAATGCCGTGCTAATTTTAGAAGAAATTCCTTATTACACATCTACTTCAAGAGAAAGTTTGGGTTTGCTTCTTTTGTGCAGTTCTCCTTAAATAGTTCAAAAGTTGCTTGGGTTCTGGGGAAGTTATGCTAAATAGTGTTTATTTTGTATTTTCACAGCTGGAGAACCCCCTACAGTTAGGCATAGCTCTTCTTGTAGGAGGATTGTTTCCTTCTACAGTAGTGACTCATTCTGCAGAGTAATTTGGACAGAAAGTAGTTTTGGGATTTTCGTGCAATCTGGAGTGATGCATTCTTTCAGATAATGGGGCTGTGGTCTACCTTTGCTTTACATGTGCATTCTGATTTGCGTCAGGTAAAATTCCACTGCGTTTGAGGGTAAATCCCTCGAAGGTGGCCCAAAACAATTTCCTGCTTTTCAAGGACACCATCAGCGTGTGGAATACCCTCATAGATTTCAGGCTAAAAGCTGCAATGGTTTGAGCAGACTTGTCTCCCATTGTGATCAATGGGAGTGGAAAGTACTCGGCGTTTCTCAAGACCAGGCCTGAACCTTTGGCAAGAGGTGAAACTCATCCAAGATACTCCCAAACTTAGTCACTGGTAGTGGTACCAGACCAGAGTGAGGGCACCTACTCAGACATTCATTATTAGCAGTTCTGAGCACTACGTGAGTGTGTAACTAAAAATGTCTCCCCTTTCCACTCTTGGTCTTGTCCACCCTACCTGTCTGACAGGCTGCCTCCTTGTTTCTTTTTGTTAGCTTTGTCTGTGCCTGTGCTTATTCTGCCCTGTTCATGCTCCCTCATGCAGACATTAACAAAATGGGACTAATGAAACACATTTGAATGGCAGGTTAAACTTCATTGTTATTTATAATACTTAACTCAACCATCTTCCTGAGGTGCTATTCATATTAAATTTAATACAGGTCCAGATCCTCAAACAGCTAATCACATGGCTTTAACCACTGTGGCCAAGGGAGTTGCCCCATACCTCCACCATACCTGTGGTGATAAAAATCATATTCAATTTTTCATACAGATTTAACTTACCACTTCCCAAGAGCTGTGATGTCTTCAGAGGTAGTAAAATTAAATTGTCCCGAGATTTTAATTGCTTTATCCTTCTAGCCATGCCATTGTTTTGAAGACATATTAATTTTCAGAGGTATTTTAGGTGAGCCAAATTACAATCTAAAACCCATGTAGGTAGATGCGGAGTAATTCCACTGAGGTAACCTATGATTTACATCAAAGTGTTTGGCCCGTGGCCTCACCCAGTCTTACTACCAACCTCAAAAAGAAGAAAGGTCAATGCTGCTCCCTAGTGGTCTTGGGCTTAGTGCAGACCCAAGTATTCAGTGACCATTTTTTCATGTTCCTTCTTGTCTTAACCTGTCAGCGTTTCCATTAAAAATCTCGATTTTACAATCTGTAAAAATTTCTTTTCCCTGAAACCTGACAAGTAATGTATGGTCTTTTCCAGAATTTCCATCAGAAACTCGCGTTTCAACCCCGCAAATATTAGCATCAGACTAAAACATGAAATGTATGAGATATGATCCATCACTGGAGGTTTACCTACTATTTCATTTATTTGGGTTTTAAACCTTACCATGATTATTTAATAAGTATAAATATCTTCTAGAATTTAAAGCATAAAGAAATATAAAAAGAAATTAAAATATTCTATTAAAGGGTAAAGAAAAGCTAAAATATAACTGAAAGTGAAAACATAAAGACATTCGAGTCCTATGCCACCTCTGAATTGACACTTTAAAACCTGTATTGTGAAGCAAATAAATTGTTTAAATTTGGGCAACAATTCCTGCACACAGCTTTGAAGCATTATGAAACATCCCTTTTATTGCCTTACCCTCATCTTGACCCACACTTTTCTCTCACTCTCTATTCTTGTGAATAAAGATCCTTGCATGCAATTCCCCTTTGAAATTTACTGCTTTTAATCAGCCTGGAGTGACATATGTTGCACCATCCAGTCAAGAGCTGAGCAACTTTCTTCCAAAGCACTCAGCCCTTTTCCAACAACAACAAAAAAAAAAAAAAAAAAAAAAAAAAAAAAAAAAAAAAAACAAACAAACAAACAAACAAAACAAAAAAAAAAGAAAAAAGAAAATTGAGACCTAGGCCAGAAAATTGTGCTGGCCACAGAGTGATTCCTACCAAGCACACTGAGGACCTATGCTCATCAGCCTCTATTCACAGAGATCAGTGCACTACTGTACAATTAATCTCACTTAAACGAAAAGACTTATAAAGTAAACTGCCACTCAGTATAATCAATATAAAGGGGAGACTGCATAAATGTTCAGACCCAATGTTATGTTTTTCCTTTCACAGTGTAATTGGACTCCCAGAAGAAGAGGACTGGCCTAATGACGTTGCCCTTCCAAGAAATGCTTTCACTTCCAGACCCACACAACCTATTGAAAAATTTGTACCAGATATTGATGAACTGGGCAAAGACTTGCTTCTTGTAAGTTTCTATTTGTTGTTCTCCAAACCGCATGACCGATAGTTCCCACTGTGCATGCCACATGCCAAGAAACATTTATGTTTCCATTCAATGGGGTTATTAAAGAAAAGCTCGAAAGTAGGTAGGCAAATTCATGTAAATCTGTGAAACATCAGCACAAGGACACCACCAGCTCAAGATGTGTCAGAGCTGAGAATAGTTAGAGACTAGGAAACTGTGTCAGGGAAGTACCTGTTTGACCTGTCTTTAGACCTTATGCTTAGATCCTCATTACTGACCACTGTTGTGCCACTGATTCAGCCATTGTTATAGTATAAGCCTGACATGAGTACAAAAACTGATCTACCATTTTTCATGGTATAGTGGACCCAGTATAAAGCAGAAAATAGGCTGTAGAGGCAGATTAAATCTTCATGCCTTCTACTGAATGCTGAAAACTTGAGATTTGGAATTCACCAATTGTTCCCTCTTACAAATGTCAGGATTGAACAGAAGCAAACAAATTGTGCTGGTACAACTGGTAACACTGAATTCAACCAAATTATTTCCATCATTTTTATAGATATGTCATAAACCCCAGCCCTGAAGTTCAGTCTTGGAATGGAATATAGGGAGTGGCCTTACCTCAGTTTGCCTTTTGCCACGCTTGTTGAAATCTAGCTTAGTTTGTTCTCTGGAAGCCTTTAAAAGATCTTGGTTCACATGGGCTCGGTAGTGGGGGCTCAGTACAACTCTTGAAAGACTTGCTGTGTCCCTTCAGAAACTGCTATCTCTGGCCTGCATTATCTATACAGAACAGCAGATCATCCTCCATTGTCCTTATGACTGCAGCTTCCAGCTGCGGTAAGCTGAACTACATCTGGACACTTGAAATGGCAGGGGAGAAACGCATCTGTTGTGCTTGCAGGCAGCTTGGAAAAGGAAGCTAGACATAGACAAGAATTAGATTCTGGAAAGAACAAGGAATAATATATGGCAGAGAGCTCAGTGAGCACGAGGGATGATGGGAGGGGGGAAGAAGGCAAATACCTATGCCTAGAAGGTGAGGTGGGAAGGGAAGCTGTTTCTGTTAGGCAAAGAGATGAGAACTGGGAGCCACAGATGAAAGGGGCAAGTAGGACTGGAAGTCACTGAATTAAATTTCAGAAGTTAAATGATAGAAGTTCTGATACAAGAAAAGAAAGTAGGAGTAGGAATTGGTTAGACAAGGATAGTAGGAAGAATATTATTTGCAGGTGAATGAAGGAAAAGAGAAGAACAAGGTATAAAACACAAGGCCATGGAAGAGATTTCAGTGCTGGCTGGACAAAGGCTGAGATAAGGATCTGGAAGGAAGGCAAGCGAAGTACAACTAGGAAGAAGAAGGAGAAACTGAACACAAAACTTTAGCATATAAAGGCTATAAAGCCAAAGACCCAACACCTGTAGAAATGCTGAGCCTAAGAATGAACATATACCTTATGATGCTGTCCATGTTTGTATAACCACAAAAGAATACTGCATTGACACTAAAAGAAAACAACGAAAGTTGTTCTTGAATAATTGCTCCCTGCAGTCTTTGAGACAGATGTTCTGTGCATGTGAATTCAAGAAAACCTGAATTCTGGGATTTCCTAAACTATGAATACTTGAATTTTCTAACTTGTTATTTTCTATTAGCTTTGGGGATGCCATATTCATATACTATGACCCCACTGCTTGTTTTAATATGGATGGTCATCTTATCGTGCAGCACTTACTGAGACACTGTTGTGTCTCATACTGATCATAAATTGAATGTGGCATGTGTTAATGTATATATGCAATGTTAGCACTGTTAACTGTACATTTTAGTTAAAACGAGCTTCTTTTCATACTTACAGAAATGCTTAGCATTCAATCCAGGCAAGAGAATATCTGCCTATGTTGCCCTTTCTCACCCATATTTCCATGATCTGGAGAAATGCAAGGAGAATCTGGACTCTCACATGTCATCCAGCCAAAACTCCAGTGAGGTGAATGCATCATAATGCTGACTGAAGATGAACCATAAATGAACAAGATGTGTAGCTGACAAGGCCACTGTCCCACACAAACCACATAGCTCTTCTAGCGAAGATCATTATTTGGAGGTTTTATGCACTTATCTTTTATTTTGGGATTGTGATGTGCTTATCCAAGAAAATCAATCTAGTTTACTTTCATCAGAGCAACACAAGGGCCAGGGCTTTGACCTGCTCCCATTGCAGCTTTATGTTTGGTTTGGTTTTGTTTTGTTTATCTACCTGGGAAAACTCCAGATGAAGAGAAGCTGCTGACCAGTTTTGCTGCCATTTTATCCTTTTAATATTGAATGCTGCCAGTGTGGAGTAGGACGATCGAGTTACTGCCAAAACATGATGCAATCTCTCTCTCTAGCTGCTGAAGCATGATTTGGTACTTTTTTAATTATTATGAGATCTCTTACAGTGATATTTAAAGAATGGCATTGAAATATCAGATCTCTCAACCTGCAGTTAACTGATACATGCATTAATACATCCAGCTACTGTTCATTCATAGCATAAATGCAGGTGCTTCCCCACTTGAAAACTTGGATGGATTATTTTATCATTTCATTACTTTATGAAAATAACAGTGATGATGGTGATCATAATAAATGTCTCAACTTTTAGGTTTTTTCATACACAAACGAGTTATTATCTATCTACGTTTGTGTGTGTGTTGCAAAAAACAAGTGTTTAACAAACTTCTAGAGTCCTGTTCTTAAAGACTCTTTCAGTTTCCAAATGGTCAGTTTGCGTTGAAATCCAGGCACATTCTAGCCCATCATCTAACCCAGCATTCCCCTCTGGAAACAGCTACAAACACATTTTCTTTCTCTCATTCCATATTTTCTGATATGCAGCCCAAAGACATGAGCAGAGCCAATGAAAATCAATACAGATTTTCACCTTCAACCTGTTCTGCTTATCAGCCAAAAAGGAAAATAGAAAAAAATTTTCCAGTTCAGAAGCAGAGAATCCTATACCTGTAATAAGCACAGATATGTATTTGTGCTGAATTGTATGCTGTATACGGCACTGCCTTATCTGCAATACCCCCCTATGGATCGCAAGTGCATGAACATTAGTGTCTCAAAATGCCTCAGATGTCATTTATTACGCAAACTTGTTTTCTATGCAGAAATGCATGAGCTTCTCTCCTAAACCACCATGTGGGTATACTGGCACATGCTTTTCCACTAGGGTTAATGTGCCATTATTGAATGTCAAAATAACTAAGCAATTCACATGCCTTTATAGCACAGTTATTTTAAATATTACATTAAATTTTTATATTTAGTATTTTTACCTTAACTAAAATATATTTTCAGTATTTTAAAAAGAATCTTTTATTTTTTTAATACTGTACTGGGAAAAAAAGAAATATTTTAAATCCATAAAAGCTGTTCCCAAGCATGACTTTAGTGCACTTACCTGGATATGACTTGGGGGAAAATATTGGTCCAACAAGTTAGCCCTTACCATAAAACCATAAATATACACTATTGCAGTATAACTGATGATAAGTGAGGCAGCTAGCTTTGCTTACTCCTGTGATAGTCCCTTAAGCTTCTATCTTCCTCATCTCTATTTCATCTTGACTAGCTAGTGAGCCAACATTATATCCTTATTCACAGCATGCTTGGCAGAAGCGCTGGTCCTTAGCAGTGAGTTGAGCAATATAATCTTCCCACCTGTGGCATGGTAACTTGTAGCCATCTCCCTGGCAGGTTTCTCAGTCCTGTGATAGACTGGCTGTTGTGGCAAGCTTCATTGTTAACTCTGTTTCAGGTATCTGTGCTGCCTGGGACATGGTCCATTGCTAGGATAGTGAGTGGATCTTATCTGTCTCTTGGATAAAGCTTTTCACTACTGTTAGACACATAAGTATGAGACGTATGGTTAAATTAGGTCTGTTTTAAATAAGCCAGGTTTTAAAAGGACCACTTGCGTGCATGCATGCAGTGACCTGTGCTTTCCTCCATGCCCAGAATGATGCCTATGCAAAACCTACCAGCATGAACAGGCAAGCTGCAAATTAGGCTTGGCAAGAATATGCATGAGGCATCTGCACTCAGAGATACTACAGATGCAAAACACAAGAATTTTGGAAGCTCTGCGAGCAGCAAGCTGAAGGCCAGGGAGCGGTCATGGCAGCTAACCCTCAAATCTTGGCCTTGCCTCTGTCATTGTCTCTGTTTCTACATCCAAGGGGAACTGCAAGCCCACAGCACTGATGTTGCACCTCAGTGTGAATAGGTTTTAACATTTATAGAAAAGGATGGGCCGGAGTGAAATATTTGCTAACCATTTTTAAACAAAAATTAGAACAGAGACAAATTTCAGGAGAATCTTGTGACAGTAACAAATATAAAAGTTTTCTACACAGTCTAGCACTTTTAAAAACATTCCACATTTTAGCTAGTGCTGAGCTATCATACATAATTTATCAGGGCATTCAGCTGGTGTGGCTTTCCAGCAGCTGTCAGGGAACTCTCCCAGAGCTCTCCAACAAACATAGGGTGAAAATGTAGGGGAGAAGAGGGTATTTTCAAATCAGGCTTAAAACTCTCAGATAGAGATGTGCATCTGTTCCATGTTAGAAGAGCTTGTTGTATTAAGCTTAGCGAAGCAAAGGCTAGAAGAGAATATGATTGCTGAATGTAGGTACATTATTGGGGTAAAACAAAAATGAGGGAAGATAACACTTTAAGCTAAAGATTAGTGTTGGCTCAAAAATGAATGAGAATATGGAAATCTCGAGGAAGTTAACTACTGGAGCAGTATTTCCCAATCAGTAGTATCAGTAGAAGAGCTCAGAGAGCAGCAGAGAAAAGCAAGGGCTGGCTTATGGAATCAGAAGCAGAGCTTCTGCAATGTGGTGCTCTAAGTAGTCTAATAGAGGATCAGGTTATAAATGGGGGTATTCAGGAGAACAGCTTGAGAAAGGCTGCATTAATGGTCACGTTCTGGAACATCCTTCCGGTGGGAATGGCAGGAACAAAAAAAAATCTGTCTTGGCAGGGTTAGGGAAATGATTTATCTAATGGGGTCCTTGTGGTAGCAAGGATCTAGATTCAAAGGACCAATGACTTTTCAAATGACCTTCTTTTCAAAATCTCTTTAGGAAGAAATTTCATCTGACATGCCATAGGCTTCCTCTTATTCCAGTCTTCCCTGCCAAACCATGGGGTTTCACTTACACTAGTAAACTGAGAAAGCCTGTTCTCTGGCTGGGCGAAGTGCTGGCACTGGCTAAAATCATGCCAGGAATCATGCTCATAATTAGACAGTACAGTCAACTGTGGGACTGTGCTCGAGCCCATGCCCTTGCTCTTTTTATTTTACTGGTACAGCTCTAGTATTTGAGTACCTTTACTAATTACTGCCATATGTGTAGGATGTAGGAATTGTATATGTGAAAAAGAAAGTGCTCCTTGACACACATGTTCCAAACTGTGATGAAAACTCTTCGTATACCCTTTAAATAAGACTTCAAAGTGCAATTCTTAGCAATAACTATGCCTGTATGTGTTCTACAGGAGCAGTTCAACAGCAGCTAAAAACCACTGAATAACAAAAAAAAATCAAAAATAAGTATAGATGTTAGCTCCTAGACCACCCACAACCAGGCACTGTGCTCTTCTCAGCAGAGAACAGGGTATTCTAAGTAACGGAAGGAGCAATTTCTATCTCCCACCAGACTTCTTTTTATCACTACTACATAATTCTGCAGGAAAAACAGACCCAATAACCAAGGAAAAAAATCACCAAAGCCGGTTAGTGAAGTGCTAATTGCTGAACCACAGCAACACATCTGGAGCAGCCTTTTCTCTCTTCACCCTGTCTCCATGCTTACTATAGTGTCCAGTTCTTCTTCAGCTGCCTTATGGAAACAAGTTTCAGTGATCCTCACAGGTGCTATTTCCAACAAGATTCTTCCAAATTTCCAATAGCTACACAGTGTCAGTGTCCCCTACGTCCCTATTACCAAGTATTGCTTCTTTTAGTCCAGCAGCCCAGAACTGATGATTAAAAAAAGAATCTCGTGTACCTCCTTGCATACCCTTAGTTTTGCATACACCTATGTTGCCTTCTGTGTGCCAAGTAAAATTATAAAAATAGGGTTTGTGCATATTTCTGTGTAGGCTGTGCCCACACTCCAGGTTTTTTTCAGCCTATTAGTCCACAGTGGTAAATGTTGGAGTATCTTCCTCTGTTGTTTCTGTCCTAAAACACACCAAAAAATGAGGACATCATGTTTCCAAAATATTGAAATTTCATGCTATGTGTACAGAGCCTTTTACAAGAAAGGAATCAGTAAGTTGTAGCATTTGAGCATCTTCTGCGTGGGGTAACATTGTAAGCATCGTAACTCTAACGTGGTTTTTACACTCGATGGTTGTTTTGATGAATAAGAAGAAAATACTGTGCCATGCTACTTTTCACAGGTTCACTCACTGTCTTTGAGAAGCATGTTTTATTTTACATATAATCCTCTCTGCTGTTAGGTATTAGGCCAACTTTAATATGGCAAATAAAGAGAAAACGAGCTGTTTTGGTCTTTTAGCCAACAAACTTGGAGCACTTACCTGACTCACAACTGAAAACACATCAGTTGTCAAATATGTATATGAATCATAAACCACACAGTTTGGTTTAAAAGGCCACATAAATTAATTATGTTCCATGTATAAGACACAGCTGAATAATAAGGAAGTTTATTCTAAGAACTCTGTTTTATAGAACCACTTTGCTAGTATTTTTCATTTACAGTAGTTTCAGGAATAGGTTGATTTTTATATACAATATGAATTAGAAGATACTAGGCTATTAGAGTGATTTTGTTGTGTTACGCTTGCAGTTTGAATTGATCACAAGCTTAGGAAGCTAGCATATTTATTTTACAACTATGAAACTGCTTCTAAATATCACAATCTGTTTTTGATATTAACAGGATTTCACACTTCTCTTAACGTGTAAATGATTTTCTTGAAATTAGTATATTAGAAAAAACATTTTTCCAAACTGCAGTTGTGGGGGAAAATTTAAGAAATATATTTTTACTTTAGTAACATGTTATATATTGAAATCTTCAGTAACTGACTGTTAATAAGCTATCACTTTTACTTCTTTTTGATCACTAAGTATTGGAGTATACAGATTACTTTCCATGAAGAAAAAATTCAGAAGCAATCTCTAGAACAGTAAATGGGATTTTATATGTTTAAGCTTCCAAGTTTCACTTTCATATCCAGTTTTTTTGTGCAAGTCCAGTTCAGGTGAGCAAAAACACGACTACAATTTTAACAGTCTAAAAGGCTGTGCAACTCAAATAAGAGTTTTATCTGTGAACTATTTATTTTATTATATCTCTTTGTTTTGCAAATTGTTAGATAATGACTGTAATAACTCTAGTTTCTGGACCAGACTCTGTAACCATCAAATCCCAGTAATTTATGTAAAACAATAAGAAGCTTTCTCATTGGCTTAAATGAACTAGGCCATTAAAAGAAGAAAGATGTGGACACGTGAACTGACAAATACACTTTTGCCAAGTGTTATTTTTTCCTTTTAGTTTGAAGCTTAGTACGTACTACATACTGATATGCAATATATACACAATATAGGAACCATAAAAAACACTTAGGAGTCGTGTGCATGGATAATATAAAAAATGCCTCATT